GGGGGGGGGGGCTTCCCTGAAGCGCCCGTTTCTCCCCCACCCCCACCCCGCCCGCCCGCCCGCCCGCCCGCAGTGCTCCGTTCTGCCTGCCTGCCTGCCTTCGTTAATGGTTGAATCGGAACAGCTTCGGCTGAGTAAAAGAGGCGAATAGTTATTATTCTCAGCCGAAGCTGCTCCCAAACAACCAGAAACTAAGGCAGGCAGGCAGGCAGAATGGGACACTGTGGATTGAAGCGCGCGCGGGGGGTGGGAGTGGGGGTGAAACGGGCGCTTTCCTGAAATTTCCCTCTTAAAATGAAGATGCGTGTTATACGCCTGTGCGTGTTATACGCCGATAAATACGGTACGTATTCTTAGAACTTTTATTTCTCAAGTATTGGGGCATTTTATTACTTGCACATAACTTTTTTTCGGAAATCTTTTCTAATCTCCCTTTCCTTGCTGTCCATCTCCTAAAAGTCTGGAAACTTGCTTTTTCTCCGTTTTTAAACAAAACCAACACCAACTCCGAGAACTAATATAAGGATCTGTCTCCATACAGCCTTACTTTTGCAATTTCTCTTGTTTCCAACCTTGTAGCCCCATTCGATGTTTGGGGTTGAATTTCCTGCCTTTTCTAGCTGAGAAAAGCTAGGAAAATATTTGAAATAAAAATCTGTTTGGGGAGCCACATCTCCTTTCATTCCTTCTCCCCAATTTGGACATTGTTTTCTAAGCAAGCTTCAGGTTGCAATAAATCTCTCCTCTCACTTCTTTTTTTTAAAGCTGTTGCAGACACTAACATTGTTTTCTCTTGATTAAAAAAAAAATCAGGAATAAAAAGGCTTGTTTTCGTCCCTTAAACCAGGAGCCTCCGACCTTGGTAACTTTAAGCCTGGAGGACTTCAACCCCCAGAATTCCCTAGCCAGCAGGGCTGAATTCTGGGAGTTGAAGTCCTCCAGGCTTAAAGTTGCTAAGGTTGGAGAGCCCTGCCTTAAACGACTTGAGTGGTGCAAATATTTGCTGCTGTTTTTTAAATTTCTTCTTTGCAGAAGAACTGTTTTACATCCCCCGTGGAGCGCATAGACTGTATATCACATCTGTTCCCGTTTTTGTTTTCTGGGTGTAGAGAAAGGCAAGAAGAGGGCTGCAGACCGTGTTTCCATGAGCAGCAGTGAGGAAGAGGAGGAGGAGGAGGAGGAGGAGGAGGAGGAAGGAGAATATGAAGTGGACGATGAGGAAGAGGAAGGAGATGAAGACAACCTGAGCGACTCAGATGGTAAAGAAACGAAGAATGAAAAGAGATTTCCTTGCAGCTTTCCACGTGCAAAAGGAGACCAGGCCATCCCTTACCGGAGTCCCTGAACCCCGTCCCTTAACGGTTGAGGGGTTCAGATTTTGCCCTGCCGCAGGAGAGGCACCTCTAAGCCAAACCCCCCTCCCTCCAGCCTCCCTTTGCTCCCCTCCCCTCCGTTTCCTCCCCCCCACCGCATGCTCTGCGGCTAAAAGAGCTGGGCACAGTGCCCAATTCTCAGGAGCAGATGGCAGAGGCTTGGCATGCCAGCCTCGGTGTCAGTGCCCAGAATAGACCGACGCCAGAGGCCAGAGTGGACAACGGCTGGCACCCTTCGGCATTTCCACGTGCCAACTCTCACACCGCTTTCTCTCTCTCTCTCTCTCTCTCTCCGGGATTTGCCTCCCTCCTCATCTCGTTTATCCCCTTCCCTTTTCGGTCGGCTGCTCCAGTTTCCTCTTTCCCTGCGTTTGTTTTCCGGTTGGCCCAAACCTTCCCTTCGCTGGGGGCAAAATCCTGACCCCGGAGGGACCAGTTATCCGGTTCAAACCCTCGGCGAAACCCTTCTGCCTGAAATGAGGTCGAAGGAGAGCCAGGGGGAGCTGCTCTGGTGTGGGGTCCCCCCCCCTCCACAGCCCTCGCTCCCCAGGGGGCAGGGGGTCCGGGCTGTTTGCCTCACCCTGAGGCGGCTGTGTTCACACTGGATGGGGAGGGAGAATTTATGTTCCTGTCCATCAGAATCCTAGTGGACAATTGCTTAAATATGAACCAGACGTGTGCTGCAAGCTGCCAAAAAAGCCAACCCAGTTCTAGGCTGCATCAACAGAGGGATAGAATCAAGATCACGTGAAGTGTTGATACCACTTTATAAGGCCTTGGTAAGGCCACACTTGGAATCCTGCATTCGGTTTTGGTCCCCACACTGTAAAAAAAGATGTTGAGACTCTAGAAAGAGTGCAGAGAAGAGTCACAAAGAGGATTAGGGGACCGGAGGATAAAACGTATAAAGAATAATTGCTAGAACTGGGTATGTCTAGTCTGATGAAAGGAAGGACTAGGGGAGACAGGATAGCAGTGTTCCAATATTTGAGGAGCTGCCCCAAAGAAGGGGGAGTCCAGCTATTCCCAAAGCACCTGAAGGCAATTTCCATTTCCATTTCTATTCCTATTCTATTCCATTCCTATTCCTATTCCTATTCCTATTCTATTCTATTCTATTCTATTCTATTCTATTCTATTCTATTCTATTCTATTCTATTCTCGGATGTAAAGTGGCTTCCAGCCCAACCTGTGACATGGATGGGTGCACATGTATGTTTCTCCTTCATTCTGGTGCTCATCAGCCATTCCCAAGGCCCTTTGGCTTCTCCCCTGCTCCTTCTCTCCCTCTTTCCCCCCCTCTCTCGGGTGGGCAGGTTGATAAACCCCCATAGTTCTAGGTCACCCAACTTAGTTTTCTAGACCATCATGAGACGATCTGCAGGTCCAGCTCTTTGGGGCAGATGGGAAGGTGGAAAAGTTGGTTTGGCAGAGTGGGTCTCCCACAGAAGAATGCAGAGGCAGACCAGAGGGTTTGGGGGGAGGGTCCCAACCCCCAAAGGACCCCCGCCCCTTCCATGTGCTCAAGAAGTAACACCCTAGCCCATTTTAAAGAGGGAAGAGCATGCTTCTAAATTCACCTCCGTAGATTGTTCATCCAGAAACATTTGGAGAGGAGCCCAATTCCCCCCTTATTTCTAGCATGTGGGTTTTGGAAGCCTCTCCCTTTACAGGGTTGTTCCTCCCCCCCCCCCAAAAAAAATAAAATAAAATGGGGGGAGGGAAATAAAGATTTTTCTTCTCTTTGATCCTCCATCCCCATTTGAAACACCCAGGTGCTTTGGTTTATTTATTGCTTTACCTATTATTAAACTTGTATACTGCCCATTTCCATCTCGCCCCCTCCTGCGCCCTGCAGATGATCCATTAATTAGCACCGATGATTAATTAGCACCCAGCTGCCTTTTTGTGCCCCTTCCTCTCTCCGTTGAGGTTGGATTGACACCCCCTGTCTTCCTTCCTTCCTTCTCCAGGAGGCGAGAGGGCCGTGCCCCAACGGAGTCACCACCGTCGGAAACCGCTGTCTCGGGCAGAGTTGCAACAGCTGGCAAAAGGAGAAGAGGACGTGGTGGAAGACTTGGATTTTTCCGATGGAGACTGATGGATGGACAGATTTTTTTTTTGGGGGGGGGTGTAACTGGACAGCTGTTGCCACTTGTGGAGGGCCGAGGAAGGGGCTGCATTGTTCCAGCTGGCCCTGAAGCCGAGTTGATGCACTGAAGGGAAATGCCAGAAAATTTTGTCATCCAGCAGGGAAGTCTAAAAAGACCACAATGGCTGCAAAAAAAAACCTGCCTCTTTAGAATAATAATAATGTGGGTTCTGAAAACCATCTCAAAATAATACCTACTTTAAAAATTAAAAAGAAACAGGCCAGCCTTCAATGCTGCCCCTTCCTCTTCTGGAGGCCAATCCCACCCACCCAGCGCTGGAGACGCAGAGATGGAAGACCAACCTGCCACCACATTTTGTGGCTTGGCTCTTTTCCTGCCAAGTGACAGTATTTACAAATTTTTGGGAATCAAACAACAGCAGGAAGAGTTGGACTGGCAGCACATTGCATGCTTTGAATCCCCCACTGCCCCCAATTCCTCTTATTTTTATCTCTGTATGGGAAGGGATCGTGTGTGTCGGTTCTTGGCTTGTAAAAACAGCCTCTTGTGCATTTCTTTCGGAGGCCTGGATCACTCTGCACCGAAACCGCAGCGGGCAAAACGGCCAGATCCCAATGGAGAAACGTTTTTCCCTGCGGCTTTTACTGCATTGTGACCCACGCACGCCTTTCTTCGCTGCCTGTGTGGTGCCCACCAGGAACTGAGACCCCCCAACACACACACACTTGTTGCTTGAGGTCACCGGACAGATCAGGTCTAGAATAAGGAATTATAGCAAGTCTTATTGTTGATTGTGAGTGGATCCCCAATGTAGACAGGAACTCTCTGTAATTTGCAAGTTAGGGGAAGGGAGTCTTAAGTCTTCAGCTTGGCTAAAGAACCACGTTTGGTGGTTTATGGAGATATGCTTGAGGCCCAAGAGCCCTTAAGTGGTAAATTTGGTTGCCATACATTTGAAATGATGGTGGTTCAGCTAGCTTTAAGCTGTGAATGGTAGGGTCAAGGAATCATGGCCTTTGCCTTGGGTAAGGACCAAGAGTGTTTATCTGGTAGGATTGTGTAGACCAAGGGTCCCCAAACTTGGCAACTTTTAGACTTGTGGACTTAACTCCCAGAATTCTGAGAGTTGGAAGTCCAAAGTCTTAAAGTTGCCAAGTTTGGAGACCTCTTGTGTAGACCAAGTTCAGATGTTGAGATGTCAGAAGAAATTACATCAGGTTTCTCAACCTTAACAACTTGAAGATGTGTGGAGTTCAAATCCCAAAATCCCCAGTTCGTTTGGGGAATTCTGGGTTTTGAAATCCACACATCTTGCTAAGGGGTGAGAAATCCCGATCTAAGAGGGTCATGTATACCCACCAAGTCTTGAATTCTTTCTTTCAGAAAGCCAATTGGCCTTTAGAAGGGTGAACTTCAACTCTCAGAATTAGGGGAATTGGAGTCCTCCAGAGTGGAAGGCACTAAATGTCTCCCACTCAACTCCCAGAATTCTGCAGGAGGAGTTAAGAGTTATGGGAGCTGTAGTCCATCCATTGAAAGGTGCAACTTTCAAAGGGAGGGTTTTTAGCTCCCAGAATCCTTAGCAATGGTGGCTAGAGAAGCTTAAGATGTCCCCTTTTCCCCCATGACACCAGATGACTGCAATTCAATTTCCATCTTTCTCCATCCCACGGCTTGGAGACTTCTGGAAGCTGAAGTGCACCATTCTTTGGAGACAGAGAGCTCCATGCCTTCACTTGGTGGTGGCCCCCAATTCTTCTGAATGCTGTGTTCAGAAATCTGGGACTTGGCAATAGAGGCAGTGGGCCTCCAACTCTGAATTCTATTAGGAATTCTGAGGTTTGGAATCCAATCCAGAAGGCAGGTCCATGTCCTGTAGATGGTAGGTCTCCAATTCTTCTGGATTATATGTTCCCCACAGAAGGCATAACCCTCCCTCAATAGGATGCCCTATATAGTAGGGTAGTTTGGAAAACCCTAGAAATTGAGCCCCCCTCCTGTCTCCCAAGCACCATATTGGCTGCCATTCAATCTCTGGTGTTCTCCAGCATATGGACTGGAGAATTCTGGGAATTGAAGATGGAAGACCCATGTTCTCAAGGTGGGTTTGGTGTTAAAATTATCAGTCTAAAAAGTCTGAGAATTGAAGATCCACCACACCAAGCATTCTGCTCCTGAATGGGAGAACTTCAATTCCCAGAGTTCAGCAACAGGGTTGTAGCATTAAGGCAATCAAGGTTACCCCCCCCCCCCCAAATCCAGATGGAAAGTCAACAGATGCGCTCCAGACTTCTCCAGCTTATTTTCTATATTCTGGGAACTTAAATCCAAGTTTTTTGTTTGAGCTTAAGCCCCCAGGATGCTTAGCAAAGTCATTGGAGAATTGTGGGAAATGGAGTCCATCCATTTGGGGGTCTTGGGTGATCTGGGGATGTCTTTTTTCTCCCAGAGCTTAGGGGGCTGAGATCCACATAACTCGGATGCACAGAATTGGGGCTTCCCAGGATTCAGAGGGCTAAGGCTACAGAATTCTGGGAATTGAGGTTTCTTGACTTAATCTTCCCCCTTCCCCAATGGGTGCACCTCAACTCTTGAGATCTTCCCTTGTTTTAGGGTCTCCAGGGGTTCTCGGCCTTGGCAAACTTAAGGCGGGTGTACTTCGGCTCTAGTTAGAAACCTGCACAACTTAATCTTGCCAAAGTTGAAAACTCTTTATGATGCAGGGTCTTAGTTCTGATTCATTGGGTGTCATGCATGCTCCCTCCCCCAATCTCCCCAGCACCTAGGCAGGTGAGCCAGAAAACCCAGGTGTGTCTTGAGGCAAGTCTGCAGTTCCTCCCCTTGTTCTAAGCAGGTGTGCACAATTTATTCCAAATCTTGGAGTTAATTTCAAATAATATACATTCGTGCATGCCTACTTATAGCAATGGGTGCACAGAGAAAATCTCTGTGCATGGCGGGTCACCCTCAGGAGGGGGGAGAAAGGCCAGGAGCCAGCCATGGCATCAGGGAGGCTGGCAGGGAGGCTCTAGGAAGGCCTGGGGCATCCAAGCCCCCCTGGGCAACCCCAGAGCCTCTCTTGCCAGCTTCTCTTGTGCCACGGTTGAAGCTGAGGGTTGGTGGGGACCGGGAGAGGCTGAGAAATGGGGCTGGGGTGCAGGTGGGCTGGGCAGAGAGCGGCTGCCCAATGTCCTTGGCTCTCAGGGTGGCAGTTTGGCCACTCCAAGCCGAGGGACATTGGGCAACCATTCTCTGGCCCATCACACCCACCCCATGTCCCATGGGCCTCCCTCAGCCCCCATCAATGCCTTTGGCTTCAGTCCTGGCCTAAAAGGGGTTTGGGGGAGGAGGGGGGGGCCTGGGAGGAGGGGGGAAGAAACCCCCCCCTTCCTAGGACCTCCCTCCCCCTGGGCCCCCTTTAAGCCAGGACTGAAGCCAAAGGTGGGGGGGTTGGGGGGGCAGGTGGGGGGGATGGGAATCAGAGGGGGAGAGTATTGCTTGTTTTTTTGAATTCTAATAAAGATTGTCTCTTCTGCCATCCTGTGTTGTTTTTTTCCCTAACCCTCTTCCCCCCCATCCCTCCTACACCCCCTCCCTTCCCCCTCCTACCCCCACCCCACCCATTTCCTTCCCTCCTCTGACCCCTCCCATCTGTGGCCCCAAGGGGGAGACCAGGGAGGGGCAGACCCTGGGTGCCCCCCCCAGGTCTACTGGGCTGAGAGGCCCCTCCCCATCTTCCCAGGGCTTTCCTCTTCTCTCCTCCCCCCCAAGGAGGCTGCTGGAGGAGGTGGGCAAGGCAGGCCCTGGAAGGAGGTCAGAGGCAGGCTGGGGAGGGGCTCCTTGCCCACCTCCTCTTCTCTTCCCAGCCCCCTTGGTGCCATGCTGGCAGAGACTCGGCAGGGAAAGGGAGGCCCAGAGAGGGGGGGGGATTGGCAGGCTTTTCAAGGGAGGCCTTTGCCCCTGGCCTGCCAATCTCCCCACCCTCCAGCCCAGGACCTCCCATTCCCCCCCATTGCCTGGCACCAGGGGAGCTGGGAAGGGAAGAGGAGGGGCGTTGCCAAGGAGCCCCTCCCCAGCCAGCCTCTAACATCCTCCCAAGTGCCTTCCTCTCCCCACCTCCACTCAGCCCCCAGCAGCCCTCCTGGGGCAGGGGGGGGGGGAGGAAGAGGTGATGGCCCTGGGAAGATGGCAGGGGCCACCCCAACCCTGCAGACCTGGAGGGGGGGGCACCCAGGGCCTGCCCCTCCCTACCTCGGTCCCCCCCTTGAGGCCAAAGATGAGGGAGGGAAATGCAGGCGCTGGGAAGATGGGGGCTGCAGGCAGGCCAGCTCTTGGGGGGCTCTTGCCAACCCACTCTGGCTCTCTAAGGCCTGCCTGCCCTCCCCCATCTTCCCAGCACCTGTGCCCTCCACTTACCTGTTCTCACCTGTCCTCATTGCCATCTGGTGTGGTTCCCACAACGTAACAATATTTCATACTTACCCTTTGCTCTAAGCTGACTCATTAAGCCAGGATTTCCTGGGCTATGTTTACCCCCCCCCCCCAATACTTTCATGTTCACCTCTCCCCCACCCAAAAAAGGAATTCTAAGTTCTGAAGGACACACCCCGACACCGTACCTGTTTTATAAACGAAGTGAATTCTCTTTTGTTTTTGTTTTTTTTAATTGTTATTTCAACTGCTTTGCTGGAAAGCCTTCAAGTGGATGGGATGCTTTTAACAAGAAGCTAAAGTACCAACTGAGCTATCTTGGGTTCAGTGTGGCTGCTGTTGAAAACGAACCAGGGGAGGGGGAAAAAACAGACACAGCAGGGGTGTGTCTTCAAAGTTTGGCCCTTCATTCTTTTCCCCTCTCCCCACAAACTGGGCAGACAAACACACACACACACACATATACTGGTTGAAAGCAGGCAAGGGCTCCAAGTGGGTTGCCTGGGTGTGGATACCAGGGAAAATGTGCAATTCCGTATCCTCACCCAGGCTGCCCTGCCTTAAGGGGGGGGGGGAAAACACTGCATCCTTTGGGCACAAAAGCCAATTAAAATGGAGCATACCTGTGTGTTGTATGCACACACACACACATAGGAGAATACAGCTCAGGGTTGAACTGTGGGGTCTTTGGTGCTCTCTGAGCTTGTTTTTTTTTTTTTACAGGCGTTTCATCACCCAGCTTGGTAACGTCATCAGTGCCCTGATCATCCCAATCCTCACTGCACTGATGACGTTACCTATTTGGATAATGAGATGTCTGCAAGAAACCAAGCTCGGAGAGGACCAAGGACCCCTCACACACATACAAAGAGACTTCCAGAAGGGAAGCAATGGGTTACCCCCATTCCCCCAAGCACAATATCCTTCCTGCTTCCTTTCTGCCTCCTTCCCAACAATTCCCAGGCAGCCAAACCCGCGGCTGATGGGCCTCCCTGCAGCCTCTAAACTGCAATAGCACTTTTAAGACTTCTATGCCGCTTCACAGGGCTTTTACGGCCGTCTCTAAGCGGTTTGCAGAGTCAACAATGCATTGCACCCCCCAAACAATCCGGGTCCCCGTTTAACTGACCTCAGAAGGACAGGAGTCCGAGTCAACCAGATGCCCAGAAAGGCCAGGATGGAAACAAACAACCGACCGAGCAAGCAAACCAACCAACCGATGCCCATCAAAGAGAGAGACACAGGAAGTCAAAGGAGAGAGAAAAAAGGAAGAAGATAGCCCCACACAGGACTGGCTGTGCTGTACCATCCAAATAAAAATAATAAAAAATAATAATTAAAAAAAATATCATGGAGTGGAGTTTGGACACTGGATCACTTTGTCTGTCTTTGGTATTAATTCAAAAGCTGCTAGCGATGCATAGACCTCCCCGTCCCTCCCCCCCCAAGAAAGGGGCGCTGTACTGGTTCCAGCCAGGGATGAGATTCCACACTCCCCTCTGCAAAAAAGGCAGAGGGGAGGAGGGGGGTTTCCTTGCCCCTCCATGGCCAGTTTGCAGAGCCATTTTTCCTTCTCCAGGTGTGTCTTCCTTCCAAGGTTTCTTTGGAGCAGTTTCCCCACCCTAATTTAAAAAACCAAAAAAAAAAACCATCCCGCCGAGTCTTTATTTCCTCCCCCCCCCCATACGAATATTTTAGCAGATTTCCACACGGCCTCTTGGTGGGGGAGAAACTTCCTTCTTCAGTGAGATGTCCGACGGCGGAGAATCCAGGCGTTACGAAGGGGGCTTGGGGGCATCGCCCAGCGCCAAGAGAGAAGTCCCATTTTCCTGCTTGGGGGAGACCCGGCTGGGGAGAAGCGTCCCTCCGTAGGGGGACGAGGCCACGCTTCCAGTGGAGGGTGGGCGAAGCTCCGCGGGAGGAAGGTTGCAATCGGCGGGTCGCAGGCCGGGCGGCTGCAATGGGAAAGCCACCGGGAAACTGGCCATATACAACACCCGGCCCACCCTCTTGGCTACCTGGAGGAAAAAACAGCAAGAAAAGCAAATGAAGCACCTGGGAGGTGTTGTGGCACGCCAGCGACCCGGTGAGGAGGTTGGGGAGGAACCTGGGCCAGTCCTGGAGTCTGGGGAAGGCTCTGATGAGGGCTGTGCGTCGGAGGCAGAGAGAGGGCCAGGGCCGTCCGACAGTTATCAGCTGCCTTTGGAGTCGGACATCAGTGGAGAAGAAGAGCAGCTGGAGCCTGCTCCCAGTGTGTGCATGTGCAAAGCTGCCAGAAGAAGGGAACACCTAAGGAACAAGAGTCGACTCTGGGATAAGGGCACAGGATAGATGGTGAATGGCCCCTCCCATAGGGAATAAAAGAGGAGCGAAAGGGGAGTGGGGTTTTGCAGGAGACACTTAGTTCAATTCATGAGGGTCAAGATCTTGACTCCTTGCCAAGTATTGTCTGCCACAGAGTGGCGTTTGGAAGCTATCGGCTTGGCAGCTCTCCAAGCCTGATAAAGGTCTGTAGTTGTGCAATCTCTTGAAAGATTGTTTGAAAGGGATTTTGCTGGAGAGGAATTCCCTTTCACCTAAATAAAAGGGATTTTTATCAGAATGAGGAATTGGCTTCGTGAACTTGGGAAGCCTAGGCCAGGATTCGGGCAGGGCCGAGAACCAGGGATTTGGGGAACCGACATCCAAAACCAAGCTGAGAGTGCAAACATTTCAAAAATAAATCCTGAAATTCAACATTGTCTACTAACAGCCCTGGCACTAAGCAGGAGCCCATATGTGGTTCAGTTACTACAGAGCCTTTAAAGTCCCACTGATGTGCTCTGCAGGATGGAGAAGCTTAATGGAAAGAAGAGTAAGGAGCAAAAGGCAGAGGGAATGTTAAAGGGCTCAACCTCCAAGTGAAAAATGAGAGAAGATATTGACAGAGCCGAAGAAGCTTCTTGGATGGCAAGTGAAACGTCTTCAAAGAAAAACCAGAAAGTCCTTTTGCCTCTTGGGATATCGATAAGAGTATCTGTAGCTCAGGGCTGAATTCAGGGCTTGGTGGTTTTCTTGTAGACGTTTCAAAACCAAACTAAGTAATATCGTTAGTGTTGGAAGGAAGTGGGTTTGTGGAGAAGATTCTGACAGATTAACAGAGTTGGAAGGGACCTTGTAGGCCATCTAGTCCAACCCCAGGAAGAGGAGGAGGAGGAGAAGGAGAAGGAAGGAAGAAGAAGGAGGAGGACGAATAAGAAGAGGAAGAGGAAGGAGGAGGAGGAGGAGGAAGAAGAGGAGGAAGAAGAAAAAGAGGTGGAAGAAGTAGAAGAGGAGGAGGAGGAGGATTGTGAGGTCCTTGGTGCTCTCTGTGAGCTTGGTGGTTTTCTTGCAGACATTTCATGACCCAACTAGGTAATATCATCAGCGCACTGATGATGTTACTTACTTGGGTCACGAAACGTCTGCAAGAAAAACACCAAGCTTACAAATCCAATTTGGACATGATGGTGTGTCTAAGCAACCAAACCGAAGGTTGCAACATGGAAATATAACGTGTGTGTTTGTGCGTGCATAGTGTGTGTGTGTGTGTGCCTCTGAAAAGAGCCCCAAAGTCTGGGCTGCAGAGCCAGGCCAAAAGGAGAATCTCCAGAAATTTGGGACTCAGAAGGATCGGCCACAACCATCGCTCTTCACCCCAAACTCCCAAAGCATCCTTTTGTGTTCCCGCCCGAGTCCTGCTGTGCCTTCTTGGGTCTTATACCTGAACAGGTGAAGGGGCCCTGGGAAGTGCCACCCTTCAACGCTTGTAGGTGAGGGGGGGCCTTCCAGGTGATGTCATACTGCTTGTACCTCAAACGGTGCCTTTTTCTGGCCTGCTCTAAATGGTTGCAAACTACGCACAGAGCAATAAACATTGTTTACCAATGCAGACCCCCCCTTCTTCTCCTGCCCACCCAATTTCCCCTCCCCCAATCCTACACATTTGTTTTATTATGTTAAAACGATAAAGGGCAGCATTATTACTTTCCCCCCAAGCCTGGGCTCTTTACGAGGGATCTCATAAAAAGGTTCTTTGGGCAATGGTTCCCTGCGGAACGATTTGTGCTGGAAATAACCCCGATTCAGAGAAAGGAGGGAGAACCAGTGAAATCCTGTGAGAGATCTACAGGATCTAAAACAGGCCGAGAAGGGAATCTCTGTCTGGTTTTGTTGAGGGGTGGAGAGGGACGCGCAAAGGGATGGGGGTGGGATTTGGAACCAGAGCATTTAAAGAGAGAAATAAAGAGGTCAAAAAAAATCAGGAAGCCCTTTTTATTGGCATGCAGAGATTGGCTCAAAGCACCTGCACAGGTGTGGTTTTTAACAGCACACAAGGAGAAATTGGGATTGTGGGGCACTGGGCACAGGCCTTGAAGGTTTGGGGGGCACCTTAAGATATAAAGGGAGGCCCTTCCAAGGTTTAAACCCAAATGCCTTATCCCCCTGGGCAGCAACTCCAGACTGGATCCATGCATTTCACAAAGCTGTGGTTGGTTAAAGCCAGGATGGACTGATTAAACCACGATGAAGTAGACATCAGCAGCCCGCTAAAGCCAGCAGAAACAATTTAGGTGTAGCAAGCACCCAAGTAAGCAAGCCACCTTGGCTGTGGGTTCACACAATACCCTTAACCTGGGTTACTATTTAATGGTCAGCCTTTAGCTCAAGGGTCTTCAAACTTGGCAAGTTCAAGACTGGTGGACTTCAACTCCCAGAATCCCTCCTCCAGTCATGTTTGGACTCCAGGAATTCTGGGAGTTGAAGTCCACAAGTCTTCAACTCCCAGAATTCCTGAGCTAACATGACTGGAGGAAGGATTCTGGGAGTTGAAGTCCACCAAGTCTTAAAGTTGTCGAGTTTGAAGACCTTTTTAGCTCAACAGAGTAGGAGATCTCCAACCTTGGCCACTTTTAAGACTTGTGGACTTCAACTTATGGACTTCAAGTCCCAGAATTCCCCAGCTGAAGAATTCTGGGGGTTGAAGTCCACAAGTCTTAAAAGTGAACAAGGTTGGAGACCCCTGCAACAGAGGATGGTACAATCCAACTGGCGGGGATCAGATTAATCTCCAATGTTTTCCCACTTCGGGTTTCAAAGAGAAATAACTCAACTTGTGTACCATAAGAGAAGCTTGAATCATGCCTAGCCCTTCTATCAGCCACATTTCTGTTTTCAGAGAATTTGCTGTCCTTTTTGTTAGAGCAGCATTGCAAAATGTAATTTCTCAAAATGTAATTTCTCCCATTTTTTAACCAGGCCAGCTAAAAACTTGGAAGCCAGATTTTCCGGGCTTAAGGATCTTGCAAAGTTTGCAAACTCAGAGAAGAGATTCTCGCTCCTAAACTGGGTTAAGTCACCTTGATTGTTGCTCAGGGTTTTAAATTTCAATTTTAAACTGGGCCCTGTTCTAATTTTTTTAATGACCTCCTTTGCTTGCTTCCTAGTTTTTGCATTCTGTTGGGATTTTATCACTGCATTTTATTAGGCACTGCCCAGAGTGCTTGGGCTATACTGGGCAGCTTAAAAATAAAAGAGTCAAAAAGAAAGTACATTAAACTACAAGGATAAATATAAAAAATTAAAAAACAACACATCCTAAACTTAGTTGCTGCCTTGGCTGGAGATATCGTGCCAACTCAACCGCTGTGGGTTTATGAACCGTGGTTTACGGCTCAGCACATGGGTAACAACAAACCAGTGGTTCTTCAACCTTGGCAAAATGGTGTGTCAAGGTTGAAGAACTGCAGAGTTAAGCCATGATTTAAGCCCGGGCATACATCTTAAACCTTTGCATTTTGAAGAGATCCTCCCCCAGAAGCATGAGCCACTGCTGATAAACCAGGGAGCAACCGTGGTTTTGCATTTTTCCCCCAAACAGAAACAATTAGCCATGTTATGTATGTAGTATGAGAGTTTAGCTGATTTTTTTCCCCATAGGCTTCCATTTAAATTTTATTTCGAACTTACCTGTGACCTTATTTTCAATGCTGGGCCTAGTTTTAAGCCCATGTGGTTGAGTAAATGCTCTTCGGTCAAGAGTGGCAGGGTCTCGCCATCGATGGCCTGTTCCCGGAAGACCTGCCAAGAAGCAAAACGGGGCTGCAACTTTGCTAGAAATGGACAAACGCAATTTTTTCCCCTCCCAAACACGGCGTTGTTCTAATCTATATACTCCAGAGAGTTGCAATGGTGAGATGGGATTGCATATAAATCAGTGTTAAATCACTTAAAGATGGGTGGATTTCAACTCCCAGAATTCCCCAGCCAGCAGGCTTTAAAATGGATGGACTCTGACTCGGTGAGTGCCACCGTTGCTCTAAATTTTCCTGCAGATGCACCCGGGTTTGATGGATGTTTGTGGGCCAGGATCGATGGCTTTTCACCCTCCAAAAGGACCCTGTTTTTATTTCCCTGCGCCCCAAAGAACTGGGGCAGCAGAGGGACCAGAGCAAGGAGGCGCGCGCGCGCGCGCACACACACACACACACACACACACACACACAGACACACAAACACAAAACCTCAATTTGCACAGCCTGCAATTTTGCACGAGCAACACGCTGGGTTGAAATGGCACATTCTCTGCGTGAACTTGTGGCGAATGCCACGGGTGTTATTCCAAGGGAAATGGCCCAAGGAGGTTTGTGCCAGAAGGATTATAATGATGGATTGACCGTCATTCAGAACGTGCAGTGAGGTTTTCTTTGAAAAAGAAAAGAAAAGAAAAGAAAAACCAAACTGCCCAGAATACTATTCTCTGGCTGACTGGATATGAATGAACATAATAAGGATTAAGGGCTCCTTGGGAAACTCCAAAGTAACTTTCTCACCGAGTTCTCAAAACTTGGGATGTCAAATAAGAATATTTGTATAATCTTAACATCGCCTGCTGCAGGATCGTTCAGGGAAGGAAAGTCTGGAGTGAGGAGACATAGAATAACAGGCCAATTTTTTTTTTCTCACCAAGGAACATAAAATTTGCTAAAGTCTCCCTGATTTCCAGAGTTTTATAAGCAGTAATTTGCAAATCTAAACCAGGCTGCCCTCTTTTTCGGAGAGCCTGGCCAACCCTGCAGGGGTGTTAAGAAGGCCACGTAGAAAACAAGCAACAGTAAATTGTTCTCTACGTTTCTGGTAGTCTTTGACTTACAATCATTTGCTTAGTCACCTTTATCATTATCTTCTTTTAATGACCCCATAATCCCTTGCGAGATGCAGTCTGGGCAACTGAATGGAGCTGAGTGTTTTACTGGCTGGATGCCTTTCCTGTAGCCAATGCGGAGTTTTTGTTCGGCCAAAATATTCTCATTGTGCCCAGAGAGAGAAAAATCTACCTCTAGCTAGGATCGAACTCACAGCCTCCCGATTGTGAGGCAATCAATCCTAATCATTTGCTTAGTGGTCTGTTCAAATTTACAACGGCACTGGAAAAAAAATCCTCACACTTGGAACCGTTGCAGCATCCCTTATGGACACACCATCCAAATTCAGACTCCTTATTTATGACGGTTGTGGTGTCCCAGGGTTACGGCATCACCTTTTCGTCCTCCCGATAGTGGGGAAGCCAGATTTACTTAACAACCGTGTTGCCAGCTTAACAACTGGGGTGATTCACTTAACAACGGTGGCACGAAAGGCCGTAAAAACGGGACAAACCTCCACAACTTAGTCTTGTGCTTAGTCACAGGGGCTCAATTCTGGCCTACAGTGCCAGAAGCATCACAGAATCTTAACGGTGTGGTTTTAATGGACAGAGATGAAGGGGAAGGTGGGATGTGGGGATTGTTCAGTTGGGATAATAAACTAAGATGAACTTTTAAAACAGCCTTTATTTTTCACAAGACTTCCCCAGTTCAGACTAGCTTTGGCAATTCACGCCCCCCCTTAAATTATTTTTGGCCAAAGAAGTCGCCAGCTGCCTCGTTTCACACATCCTTGGCTTACAAACCAGGATTTGCTGGCTTCCGAGCTAAAAGCAAGTCACGAGAAGTCTCGCCACCCTGCATGAATCCAGGTCTTACGGGATTCATGTAGGTAGCTGGAGGTTGGACTAGAGCAGTGGTCTCCAACCAGTGGGCCGGTGGTGGTCCATGAGAAAGTTTTGGTGGTCTGCAGAGAATTGTCTCCCCCCAAGCAATTAATCCAGGCTGCGCGGGAACATAAGGCTGCAACGCCCACATGGCCCGTGGGAACACAAGGCTTGCGTCGCTTGCACTGCGAACAACACGAGGTGGTGAGGGGAGGGGGAAAGGGCAGAGGGGGGAACTTGCCCCACTCACCCCACACACCTGGCCTGGCCACCGAGCTGCTTCTTTCCGCTTCTTTCTTCTTCTGCTTTTGGCTGCATGCAAGGAAAATAGCAAAAGTCTTTCTTCCCCCAAACTCCACCAGAAATGAGTCTTTGGGACCCTGCAAGCAAGGCATCCCTGCTCCAAGAGGCTTCTCCAGCAAAGACTCATTTCCGGCGGAGTTTGGGGGACAGAAGGAAAGACTTCTGCTGCTTCTGCTGCTTTCCTTGCATGAAGCCAAAAGTCTCTCTCTCCCCCCCTGAGAAAGGAGCTGGAGATGGTATCCTGCAATCCCAAATAAAGAACAATCGATCGGTAGGTAAATGGGGCGGGGAATTTTCCTGCAGACTTTTTGGGGGGATTTTCCCAGGGTCTCTGGTCCGTGGGAGGTTGGCGAACCCCTGGACTAGATGACCTCTGAGGTCCCTTCCAACTCTAGTCATTCTTAACACTTAGGAAAACGGGGAAAAGCGGCCCATAAAACTGCCAGCAGACAGTTGAATTCCCATCTCAGTTGGGGAACCTTTTAAAAAAAAAAAAAAACAAGGGAAGAGAAATAAATCTTGTTTCCTTGGCGTTATGCTCCTTCCTTCCCAGCTCTCTCCTTCCCTACAGACCTGAAGAATCCAGATGTTTCCAGACTCCCCCTCTGCAGCTGGAGTTCTCCAAAGGGCATTTATATATATATAAGCCACAATGTGCTAACTGGGAAGCCAAATTAACAAGCCCTTTATCGTCCAGCTGGCAGCCTCCACTTTCCCACCCACTCAACCGCGGGAGTGATGGATGGGTTTTGGTGGCATTCCTGTCCCTCCCCTGTCTGCTCTGGGGGGGAAAAAAATTGGACTTCCATCAGCGCCGCTTTCCTGCAAGCTATTAGGCGAGCTAAGCCAACATGGGGGGGTTGCTTGATCCTTCGTCTGGAAATATTATTTTTCCATTTTCTTTTTTTAAAAAAAATTCCTGTCAAGCTCTAGAACCAAATCAGGAAATTCCATCCTGGTGAAAAGCCTGTGCAGATGAATCGTTTTAGGTTAGGTGGCTTCAGGGTATTAACTCCCCTCCCCGTCCTTTTAAAATTATTCTAAACTTTGTTTTTTAATCTGTGTGTCTTTTTTATGTGGCTGGATTTTAATCTTTTGTTCCTGGCTCTGCAAACCGCTTAGAGAGGGGCTGAAGCGGTATATAAGTTCTAAGGGCTACTGGTATCTCAAACCTCCCAGGGGGGCTTAGATGAAGTGGGCAGGGTATATAAATTGGATAAATAGAATGAGATGCTCAAAAGAGTGGTCTTTTTAAGGTAGAGTAGCCAAGTTTCTAGCCCCTGTGATTTAAAAAATTGGATAAATAAAATAGGAGCCTCAAGAGAGTGGTCTTTTTAAGGTAGAGTAGCCAAGTTTCTAGCCCCTGCGATTAAAAAGTGAGTGCAAGGCCTGACAAAAAAACCTCAGAAGCTTTGGATTCACTTGTCTGAAATGACATAGGGACTTGCTGCTTGAGCAGGGGGTTGGACTAGAAGACCTCAAGGTGTCTTCCAGCTCTGTTATTCTGATGGGTTGATTGACTGGATCTGATTTCAAAATGCTCAGGGAGACATTCTGGATCCCAGAAAAGGCTTAGTGTGTCATTAACAGTGTGTAAAGTGTGTGTAAGAAGAGCAACCGGGATGATGAGGCAACCTGTATGTCCAAGGCTTGGACTCAGGAAAAACAGGCTAAACATATGCAGCCATATTATGACAATCAGGGAAAGGATAAGAAACGATGTAAATACTGATATCTATATTCATATCTATCTATATTTATTTATATAATAAGTTGACATTGTATAATGAAAGAAATGGGTATATGGAAAGATGATGAGGAAATGTAAAAGATGCCTTGACGTTGATATAACGATGTATAAAGTTTGGTTTTATGATTTTAAATTTTGAAAATTAAATAAAATTTAATAAACAAAAAAATAAATAAACATGCAGCCATAAATAAACAACTTTGGGAGCCTTTGACTCCTGCTGTTCATTGTATACGTGTGCAAGGGGGGGGTGTTGTGTTGTGCAATATTAGGGAGCCTTGTGGCACCACACCATTCAGCACCACCAAAGAGGCAGCTCACAAAACCTAACAGCTTAACACTTAACAGCTTGCCGAGAAAGGTCATAAACAGAGGCAAAACTCAACTGTCTCGTTTAGCAATGGAAATTTAGAGTTCAATTGTGGTTGCAAGTCGAGGAGTACCGTACCTGTATGGATCAAATGGAGAGGCTTGGACTCGGGGGGGGGGGGGGGGGGGGAGGAAACAGGCTAAACATGCATCCATCAACAACACTGGGAGCCTTTGACTCCTGAAACTCTGTTGTCCTCTGTGGCCCGTTGTATATGTGCAACGGGGTGTGTTGTGTTGAGTGGTGTTGCCCCCTTTTTTTTCTGCAAATATTAGGGAACGTACCTGGCTGTATTCAGCACAACCGGAGAGGCAGCTCACAAAACTGCACACGTCATCTATGCTCCATTTACTGACGTCTTGCAACGCCGTAGCGGCGGGACCCTCTTCCCCATCCAGAAAGAGACCTCCCATTGTGCCTGGAAGGAGCGGGGGGAAAAAGGGGAGGGGTGGTGGTTTTTTTGGTTTTTTGTTTTGCACAGATGGGGAAACAGGGGTGAGCGGAGGCGAGACGGAAAAGAGGAAACATAAATCACCAAAGCTTTCCCTCCCCACTCACACACACACCCCCACATCTCCCTCCCCGGGGGACACACAGCCTGACTCTCGGCTGTTCCTGCGTTTCCCTCCAGCCACGCATCCATCTTTAATGAACTGTCAATTAAAAATACCAGGCAAGGGTCAATTGGGAGGCGAACTCCTCCAGAGGGGTTTTTCCTAGCCTGGAGGTGGGGAAGGCAGGAGGAAGGCCTTCGAGGAAGGGGGGCTGGAGCAGAAGGGGGAGGGGAGACTCAAAGGCACTAATGATTTCAGCATGTTGGGAGCGCTTTTCAGGAGGAAGGAGGGGAGGCGGTTCCGAGGACGAATCCAGCCAGGGTTGTAAGAACTAGCAGAAAGGGGCGCAGAGGGGGTGGAAATCAGCCAGGTTGCTGAATTATGGGGTAGATAAGCAAGGACTCTGTTGCATTAACAGAGGGATACAATCAGGATCAAGGGAGGCACTAATACCACTCCAGAAAGTGGGGGGTGGGATCTGTTTTTGTGGCCAGGAAAACTGCAAGGATGTATCTAGGAAGTTATCGGAAATTAGCCGAATTCTCTCTTTAAACAAAGCAAAATTTCAGAAACGTTTTTTCCAACTAACTTCTTGGCTTGGGAATGTGATGCACAACATTTTAATGAGTTGCCCGGGGGGGGGGGGGGAATGTTGAAATTGTGTGTGCGTGTGTGTGGACGGAGGGAATAAATCTCTGGGGGAAAAAATGACAAATTATTTTGGACAAAGTCTCAGGGTTTTAACCATGACTTCTCCACCCCGTCTCAGTAAAAACTGCAAATGAAAGAAGAAGAAGAAGAAAAAGTGCATTTAACTCTTGGATGTGGTAGCTAACGCAAACCGGTCAGTTTAAAACTCTGCGGCAGGAGATCCAACCTCGGACAAAAGACCTGGAGGGATTTTTGCAAACTTTTTGGAATAAGAGAGATTTCCAGCTCTGGGGTTGGTGAGTCTTTGTCTAATTTTTAATATATATATATATATATTTGGTAGCCAAGAGGAACCTGTGTGCCAAATTTCAAGTTTGTAGGCTTTATGGTTCTGGAGATTTTGTGATGATGTGTGAGGGGTACTTCAATTTTATATATATAGATTGTGTACCTTCTTAAGCCCAACGAACTCTGGGTGATGTTTCAGTAAGCTGGGGATGATGGCTTTTGGTTCCCCTCTCCAGAAACAGGGCCCTACACTTGATCTTAGCCAAATGGCCAAGATTGGGCCCTAAAATTTGACCCAATCTTTGCACCACGATTGCCAGATTCCTCTTGGGAATTCTTCACATTTTGCTCTTTCTCCATCCCCCCCCAACCCAAAAAAGGTGTGTTCTCCCCCATCCAAGAGCGCCAATAGTTCCCCACTGACTCACCTGCATGGAAATACGGACTCATCGTATACGGGAAACCAAATGGCAGCGGCTGGGGTGGTGGGAGGGAAGCTGTGGGGAGTAGCTTGGCCTCCGCTTTGCCAACGGTCGGGCCCAGGAGATAGCTAGGCAACTCCGGATTGGAGGAACTGCAGGGCTGGTTCTGCCCAGCTGGCACCTCGCCCAGTTCTTTGGCGCCCTCGCCAATCTTTGCCACCGCCTCTTTGCACTCCTTAACCTCGCCAGCCGCTCCGCTGTTCTCGGGCTTCAGCGCCTCCGGTTTCTCGTCGCTCGCTTCGGCGTCGCTATCCGAGTCCTTCATTTCCTCCGGCGGGCGGCTGTCCAACAAGTCTTTGGATTCGCTCTGGCCCAGAGCCTCGGAGCGTGAGTGTGCGGCCTTCCGGGTGCCCCTCCGCGTGCCCTGCTCCTTGGGAGGGGTGGTGGAGACGGCGGGGACCCCTTGAGGGTTGAGCGAGAGCAGCGGGGCGTTGTTGTGCCGGAGGACCAGCATGGCGTTCCTCCGGGAGAGCTCGTCCCGAAGCGGGTGCCCTTCCGGGATGTCGTGGAGGCTCCGTAAAGCGGGGTGGTCTGGGGGAAGGCCCGGGTGCAAAGCCATGGGGTCGGTCGCCAGGAGCCGCTGGCGGTGAAGGTTTTCCAGTTCTTTCTGCCGGATAATTTCCGCGGACATCTCCAGCCTAGGCGGGTAGAGAATTGGGTTTGGGAGAGGAGGGATGTCATTGAAATCCCATGTCAGAGTGTTTGCTATTACTCAGGAGTAAAACACAGCACACAGAGGCTTTGCCTTTTAACAGAGTTTTATATATAAGACTGCTATATACGTACATATACATGGCAGGCAAGTAATCTATCTTCTTTACTCTGCACGGAGAACTACAATGGCGACAGAACTCAAGGAGAGAGAGATACGCCCTCTCATGGCCGCCTTTTATATAGACAGTTTGTTAAAGCGGCAGTTTGTTAAAAGTCCTGTGGGACCCACCCTCAGTCTTAAAACAGCAATAACTCTGCTGACTCACCCTCATTGCATCAGCATAAAACTCACTTGACCCCTGTCTTAGTTAGTGACAGAAATTTTGGGTTTCAATTGTAGTCGCAAGTGGAGACTGCCTGTATACAGTTTCCGTCTCGGACTCAGTTTCCCTGTCTCTAAAATGGGATCAAGTCAGCTGCCTCAGTGGGTGGTTGTGAGGGGTGCATTTAAAAGAAAATCTGAAGCAATCAAAAAAAGTCTATTTCGGGGATCTTCAAACTGGACAGCTTTAAGACTTGTGGACTTCAGCTCCCAGAATTCCTCCTCCAGTGATGTTAGCTCAGGAATTCTGGGGGTTGAAGTCCACAAGTCTTAAACGTGCCAAGTTTGAAGAGCCTTGGGTCTATTTAGATCTGGCAAACTTGTCAGCCCTTGTTGAGGATTAAGGACATCTGGAAGGATGAGATCCTCTGCCCCCCTTCCAACATCAGGCAACCCAGTGAAGTAATCCTTGCCTTTTAATAATTTTCCAATCTCTTCTACTTCAATTTCACAATATTCTGTCTGGGCTTAAAGTTAAGCATGCTTTATTAGTACTTGAAAAAGAGACCACATGTCAACTCATAAAACATTCCTGTGCCTGTTTTAGTAGTTGCCATTTAAAAAAAAGGGGGGGGGGAGGAAATCTGGAAGAGCAGGGCAGCAGTTTGAAAGTGAAAGTACATGTCATGCCCCTGGTGGAGACTCTGACTCTGAGGGAGAGGAGGAATAGCCAACAGGGAGTGGAAGTATGGCTCCAGAGGTTGTGGAGGAGGCTGGGGAAGGGCAGAGGCCGGCTGGGCAGACAGAGGAGGACCCAGGCCCGTCCCCTCTCCCTCCTAGGGCATGCAGGTAGAAACGGAGAAGGCAACAACTTGCCTTACGAGAGAGGAAGCGGCCTTGATCCCTTACGTGGGCTGCAGCTGTGACAACTGAATATGGACCTGCGTACTGGCAAACGCTGGAAACAAAGCATGCAAATATCTCTAGTTTATGGTTCCTCTCTGAGTTTGGTGTCCTTCCCAGTGTGTGTTATCTGTGGACATCCTCCAGCCCTTATCTTGCCTGGTTTGTCTTGCTTTATTCCTTCTTTGTGTAATTGTGTGGGAGTTTTTTTGTCTTCCGTCAAATATATTCAGAGCTTGGAAGCAAACTGAAGGAATAAAAGGGGCTTCACCTGTTTTCTGTGACTGTGTTTGTTTTGTATCCCACCCTGGGTCATCACAATACGTTCCAACTCTTATCTTTAAAAGGTTGTAACTAAAATACCGGAGCTTTTGCCCACTAAGATATCTAATTGGAGAACGTGAATGATGACACCCAGCCTATGAACGTGCTCAATTGGGAGAATCTGGTTTATGAGACACCCGGGGGGAGGGGGGAAACAGGGTTACAGGTGACTGTAAATGATGTGTGCCAGAGTTGGCTTCATACAGGGCAGTGCCAGGATGTCGCCTCTAATGGATCCTTCAAAGTTTTTTGAAGTTTGGCTCGAGAATCATGATTTATTTAGGGCGATTGCTGGAATCCTGACACTACAAGAAAATCACAGACGGGGATATTTGGGGTGAGAAAAACCTAGCCTCCTAAAATGAAGGCCAGTGGGAAATGACTTCCATATAAAGAGACTTTCATGAAGTGGCCAAGCTCAGCTTTGCTTTTAATTCTTCCTCTGGCCCCTCCCGGTCAGCGAGGGGGCTAAGCAGAGCCCAACGTGGGAGGCACCGTGGGCACTGCCAGGCCCAACCAATTCAAATCCACACCTCCCATTTTCTCGTGTTCTCCAAACAAAGCCGGCTGGCCAGAAAAATCCAGGATTAAAAAAAGAATGCCCCATTTCTCTGGCTCGGCCAAGTCTACCCGGTAATTGCTGGTCATCCAGGGACAAATGTGGGGGCGGGCGGGCGGGCAGGGGTGCCAAGCCCTGAGTGTATTTGACTTGTGTTGCAACTCTCACCTGGCAAGATTCTGTTTCCTGAGCATCTCTTGCTGGCGGGCAAAGATCTCCGCTTGGGCTGGCTGGAGGAAACCGTAGCCTTGAAAAGGGAAGAAGAAGCAGCATGAATTCGGGATACAAGAGAAGGGCAGAGGGCAAAAGGTGGGGATGTGCTTTGCTAGCTCGAGGTTCAATTCGTGGCATGTTCTGGCTAGAGATGGAACAACATCGGGCCTGGAAAATGAGACTGTGTGTGTGTGTGTGTGTGTGTGTGTGAGAGAGAGAGAGAGAGAGAGAGAGAGAGAGAGAAAGAGAGAGAGAAAGAAAGAGAGAGAGAGAGAGAGAGAGAAGGAGGCTGTAGACTCAGGGAGAAAGGAGAGATGAATTAACCAGGGGGAGGGATGGAATTGCAGCCGGAAGGAGGGAAGGAGGTAGACAAAAAAAGAGGAAAACGGAAAGAATGGGAAAGGAGGTGGACAAAAAGAAGGGAGGGAGAGAGGGACAGAGGCAGGAAGGAAGGACTGAAAGAGGAAGGAAAAATAGAGACGAGGGAGGGAGCGGAAGGAAAGGAAGGAGGTGAAGGAATGAAAGAAGGGCACTGAAAGAGGAAGGAAGAAGAGAGACAAGGGAGGGAGGGAGAACACCGAAAAAGGAAGGAAGGAAGGAAGGGCCCTGAAAGAGGAAGGAAGAGGGCAGAAGAGAGACAAGGGAGGGAGGACACTGAAGAAGGAAGGAAGAAAGGAAGGAAGGAAGGAAGGAAGGA